ATTTTTTTAATATTTTATTGATTTTTTACAGAGAGGAGGGGAGAGGAATAGAGAGTTAGAAACATCGATCTGAGAGAAACATCAATCAGCTGCCACCTGCACACCCCTCATTGGGGATGTGCCTGTAAGGCTTGAGAGGCTAAAGGGGGTGGATAGGGGGACCGCCCTCGGACGCCCTCCGCTAACAGCGGTCCCCCTATCCACCCCCCCCAACCTCTCAAGCCCTACAGTGCCCGCAACCAAGGCACATGCCCCCGACTAGAATCGAACCCGGGACCCCTGAGTCCGCAGACTGATGCTCCATCCACTGAGCCAAACCAGTCAGGGCAAGAAATTGTTTTTAAAAAATGATAATAAAGTGATATGAAAAAATAGCATATAAAGTTTCAGAGCACATAATAGAGAACTGAAATGCATAAATATGTCACAATATATATTTACAAACTGTATATGAGGCCCCTAGAACCATAAGAAATGCAAAACATTCACTGTTAATAACTCATTCTCGAATTGCCCCCCTTAAAAATCAAATTGCGCCCCAGCTGGCTTGGCTCAGTGGATGGAGCATCTGCCTGTGGACTGAAGGGTCCCGGGTTCAACTCCAGTCAAGGGCACACGCCTGGGTTGCAGGCTCCTCCCCAGTAGAGGGCGTGCAGGAAGCCACCAACTAGTGATTCTCTCTCATCATTGATCTTTCTATCTCTCCCTTTCTCTCTGAAATCAATAAAAATATATTTAAAAACAAATCAAATTTCCCCCCCTGTGGGGCGTGTGCCCATGTTGGGAACCACTGGTCTAAGTGCTTTGGTGAAAGGAATGTCCTTTGAGCCCTCTCAGGGAATGTAGTTAAGGGGTGCACCAGTGGGGGTGCACATGACAACTCCATTCCTCCATTCCCACCTCCCCGAGAGAGTTGGGATTGCAGACAATGAGAGATGGGAGGAGTTGGGCACAAGGAGAATTGGCATCCCCTTGCTGGGCAATGGACCAGGTGAATTCATTACAAGGTTTCCAAGAAAGGCAGGATCAGCTTCATCAGAAGGGGAGGAGAAGCTGTTTCCACTGGGAAGGGGAGATCCATGGAGTTTCTGGGTTAAAAAGATATAGATTCAGCCCTATTTTGGCTCAGTGTGTTGGGGTCCAACCCCAGCAGGTCCAGGGGTCCCCAAAGGTGTGGACGGAGTTGGTGAAGAAGGAATGACACAGAGACAGCGTTCAGTTGATCAGCAGCCTAGCCAGGATCTCCAGCCAAGTTCTGTCCAGGACTGTCTTGTTACATCTGTATTTATACCAGTTGATTTTAATCCTGTCAATTTCTATTCCAAAGGTTAGGGCGTTTCTTATCTCCATTCCAGGGAATAAAGATTATGTAGCTTAAGGGTGATTGTTCGTAGTTAAAGTGATTAACTACCTGCCTGGCATTTAGTTAAGGGGTTTTATTCACTCCCTAACTTCTGGGAAAAATCCCTACCTGGGGAAACAACCTTTCTCGGAGAGGTGACCTTGGTTAATACACATAGCTCTAAGAAGGTGAGCAAACATATTAAGAACAGTATGCCATATACGCCAGGTCCCTTGAAACATATGCTGTGCAGATGTTTCTTCCCTGCAGCGACTGTGTCAAGCAGCAAGGATGGACCGGCTTCCGGCACTCCCCCATCTTTATTTTCCAGCTTGAAGTTGAAGAAATTAAAAGGCAATTTTGATGTGATAGTATTGCATAGTGATTGAAAACTCAAGTCTGGAGCCAGACTGCATGTGTCCAAATCCCAGTTTTGCCACTTCTAACACCTTCGTTTCTCTATATCTCTGATTCTGTAAAATGGGGAAAATAGTATTTGCCTCATAGAGTTGTTGGAGAATTAAATAAGTTTATGCATTTAATGTATACAGAAAAGTGGGGTGTGCAGGAGGCAGCTGATCGATGTTTCTCTCTCATTGATGTTTCTAACTCTCTATACCTCTCCCTTCCTCTCTGTAAAAAAATCAATAAAAATATATTTTAAAAAAGATATAGATTCATTCAACCAATATTTACTGAGCATCTAATAGGAGCTGGGTATAGAGCAGTGAACAAAATAGACAAAATTGCCCAGCCAGTGTTGCTCAGTGGTTGAGCATCGACCTATGAACCTGGAGGTCAAGGTTTGATTCCCGGTCAGAGCACATTTCCAGGTGGTGGGCTCGATCCCCAGTGTGGGGCGTGCAGGAGGCAGCCGATTGATGATTCTCTCTCATCATTGATGTTTCTATCTCTCTCTCCCTCTCCCTTCCTCTGTGAAATCAATAAAAATATATTTTAAAAATAGACAAACATATGGGATAGATTAAAATTGCCATGATCTGAAGAGGGAGGATTTATTTGTGTCCTCCTCCTATATGAAATGGCTGAACAGAAAAAAAAATAGACAAACATTTCCTGGCTTCATAAAGTTAATATTCTAGTGAAGAAACAGACAATAAACAAGGTACATTAAAGGAAGAGGGAAGAATGTGCCTGGAGTATCCTGAACAGCTAAGAGGCACTGTAGTGTGGCTTTTACTCTTAGTGAGATGGTACTTTAGTTTCCTGGGGCTACCATAACACGTGACCCCGAACTGGGTGGCCGTAAACAACTGAAATTTATTCTCTCACAGTGATCGAGGCTGGAAGATGGAGATCACTCTAATCTCTGCCTCCGTCTTTATGTGGTTTTCTCTTCTGTCTTTTCCAAGGACATTTGTTGTTGGATTTGGGGCCCACTTGGGCAATCCAGGACGACTTCATCTCGAGATACTTCATTATATCTACAAAGACCCTTTCTCCAAATAAGGCCATGATCATAGGTTCCAGGAGTTAGTACATATCTTTTGGGGGCCCACTCTTTTTTTTTTTTAAATGTGGATTTGCTGGACATCCTTACGCAGGGGCCATGCAAATCTCTCTTCTCTGTATTGTTCCAATTTAGTATATGTGCTGCCGAAGCGAACACTGGGGGCCCACTCTTCACCCCGTTCCAGAGGGGAAGCCATTGAAGGGCTTTGAGCAGAGGATGGCCTGACTTAGCGTTTAATGGCTCTTTCCGGCTGCTGCGTTGACAAGACACTATATTTGGAAAAAGTAGAAAGGGGAACTGCAGGAGGCCACTGAAAAACAATCTAGGAGACATAATGATGGCATGGACTACAGTGATAGCAGTGAAAAAAACCATTAGATTCTGCATCTCTCTTTTCTTAAAAAAATATTTTTATTGACTTCAGAGAGGAAGGGAGAGGGAGAGAGAGATAGAAACATCAATGATGAGAGAGAATTATTGATCGGCTGCCTCCCGCCCTCCCGCTCCCCACTGGGGACCGAACTCGCAACCCGGGCATGTGCCCTGATCGGGAATCAACCCGTGACCTCCTGGTTCATAGGTGGATGCTCAACCACTGAGCCACGCCAGCCGGGCTCTGCATCTCTTTTAAAAGCAAAGATGACAGGCTTTGCTAACAGATCAGATGAGTGCTGGAGAAAGATGAACCTCATAAAAGAACCATCAATGAATACCTCAAACTTATTCAGCCAAACATGTACCAATGGGATATTATAAAATAATGGGGGAAGTAATGAACTGCCCATGGATTGGTTGATAATGGGGGCTTTGGTTATCTATAAAAAGTTAATTTAAATAATTATTATCATTGCCTTGGCACACACCAAAATAAATTCTTGATAGAGTAAAAGTTACCTGAGGAAAAACCAATCATCTGTTTTTTTTAAGCCACAGTAAAATAAAATGGAAAATTATCTATTCTTTGGTTGGCAGAGAAGGATTGGAAGAAAAGCAATAATTGCTCTCTTCTGTCAGCAGCAACTCATTAGAAAAGACAATGGCAAAAGGCACCCTTTACAATCGCAATAAAGAAATAACTAGGGTCCTCACTGGTTTAGCTCAGTGGATAGAGCGTTGGCCTGCAGACTGAAGGGTCTGGGTTCAAATCCCCTTAAGGGCACATGCCCGGGTTGCAGGTTCCATCCCCAGTAGGGGGAGTGCAGGAGGCAGCTGAATCATTGATGTTTCTATAGCTCTCTCCCTCTCCCTTCCTCTCTGAAATCAATAAAATATATAACTAGGGATCCATCAAGTCCAGAGAGGCAAGTTTAAGACCCCCTCCCCCCACCTTGAGAGATAGAAAAGGGAGAACACCAAAGATAGAAGCGCAGAGGTCTTAAACCAGGAGCCACTTCCTAGCTGTGCAATTCCGCAGCCATTAGCGATCCTGGGACTATTCGAGGTGTGCTAAGTGTAAAACACAAACCCGAAAGATCTGGCACCAAAAAAAAGTAAAATATTCTCTTCATAATATTGTGTATTGCTTACATGTTGAAATAATATTTTGGATAGCCGGGTTAAATAAAATTCGTCATTAAAATAATTTTCAACTTTCTCTTTTTACTTTTTTTCTCCATGTGTCTGCTCGAAAATTTAAAAGTCCACGAGTGGCTCGCACTCCATTCCTATTGGCCAGCGACTCTGCTGCTGCCTGAGAAATTGCAAGTAGCAAAGGGCTTTCAACCTCTAGGTGCCTTAACGTCTTCATTTTTCTATCGGGACTGGTCTGATAGTAACCATAAAGGGTCGGCGAGAGTCAGCAACAAGCTACAATTAATGGAGTACTCAGCGGGGTGCCCAGGTGCGCAAATCCGGGTTAAACCCAGCGAAGGTAGAGCGACAGCGGCCGAAGCCACGCCCACAGGCTACGCGCTGCCTCGGGGGGCTGCGCTCTTCACAGCCCAAGCTGCCAAGGGCGGGGGCCGAGAC